CGACGACGACGACACAACGACGGCGACGACGACGGCGACGACCGCGGACGACGACGACGACGACGACGACCGCGGACGACGAGGACGATGACGACGACAACGACCGCGAGCAACAACGACCGCGGGCGACGACGACGACGACGACGACGACCGCGGGCGACGACGGCGACGACGGCGACGACGACGACGACGGCCGCGGGCGCGACGACGACGACGACGACGACGACCGCGGATGACGACGATGACCACGATGACGACGACCGCGGACGACGACGACCGCGGGCAACGACGACGACGACGACCGCGGGCGACGACGACAACGACGACCGCGGGAGACGGCGACGACGGGACAACGACGACCGAGGGCGACGACGACGACGACCGTGGACGACGACGACCGTGGGCGACGACGACGACGACGACGACGACGACGACGGCGGATGACGACGACCGCGGACGACGACAACGACCACGACGACGACGACCGGCGACCGCGGACTTAGACGACGACGTAGACGACGTAGATGACGACGACGACGACGACGACGACGACGACGACGACGACGACGACGACGACGACTGCGTGTGGGTGCATTTCCCGACGTTCACAATCTTGGCGAGTCCCCGCGACCCTCCCCTCCTCTACTGTATCCTACACCGTTCCATTATGGTTCGCTCGACGTTGTCCTGCTTAACGTGAGAGTTGCTCTTTCTAAGGCTCAAAAAGGGCCGCACAAGCACAAAGGCTCGCACAAGGCCGCGAGAGGACCGCGAGCGGCTCGGATGAGACCAAACAGAGCCTCGGAGGCCGCCCGAAGGTAAAGTTGATGTCCGTGTTGGTCAGGCTGTACTCGGGCCGACCCGGTTGGTTGAATGACCACCTACCAGACCACCCCAACCCGACCCGAAGACCCAGACTTCGGGTCGGGAGGGGGTGCGGGATGTGTGCTTTCTATGTTCCCCGACGCCCCCCCAGACTGGGACTGGAGGGCAAATTAGGGGCTTCGGGCTGGGTTGGGGTGGTTCGGTGGGTGCAGTGCCTAGTTTTTACTGAACAATCCGAAGTGGTCGTAATCGGGCTTCTCGCTGGCGCACACCCCCACCACCACGAAAAGCTCCCTTTGGAGTGACACGCCGAACGGCAGCGACTCCCAAGGGGAGAGCGTAAACCAACTGGGGCCTTGCCTGGTGACTACAGATGCATGCGCTGCTCTGGAAAAGTAATGCAACGTTAAGAGGCGATGAGTTTGTTTTCGCCGCCCGTGCTTTTTCGTCGATTTTGGCCTCTGAGGGGGGCGTTCGAGTCTCGTGACCTTCAGAAACGCTCCCGAGATGAACTTCTTCCGAAAAAAGTCCATCAGACGATGTCTGGACAGGACCTGCAGCAGCTGCATTACTTTCCCGCGGGGGCATGGGGCCGCGGTGGCGTTCGCGACGACAGTGACCCATCTTCGCACCGCTGGACGTGTCAGAAGGGCGGTCCAGGCGATTGGCCTGAGACTTCCTCGCCAGGTGTGATCAGAGAGCTTAACTGTTCAAAAAAAAACTCTGACTGGTGGCAGGTCGTTCTTTTAAAATCCGCCGGCCCTGTCGGCGTGTGTGAGGGGCTTCTCCGTTCGACTCGTCGTCTCCGTCGTCTCCGTTCTCCCCCTCCCAAGGCTCTCCTCCTCAAGCACGCTACCCGAAGCGAAATTAAACGACGTCCTAGTGGAGTCGAAGGGAAGCCCCTTCCCTTTGATCCCTTTCCCCGCAGGGGGGGGGGGAGGGGGGGGGGTCCCGGGGCAGATACGACGCCCGCCGGGGTGCACTTTCCTCGAGCGGGCACGCACGGGATGCACTTCCTCCTCCTCCTGGTCCTCCTCCTCCTCCTCCTCCTCCTCCTCCTTTTCCTTTTCCTCCTCCTCCTCCTGCTCCTCTCCTCCTTCACCTCCTTCTCCTCCTCGGCGCAACCTGGGGGCGGGCAGAGTCTGTCCACCACCAACAGTGAAAGCAGGGCCGAAGGCGCACCTTACAACCGCCTTCGGCCCCACTGGGCGGACACGGCTCCCCCATCCAGGCGAGGGCCCACGGGCGTAGAAAACCTAAACACCCTCCGTGGCCGCCTGAACGTGGAGCCTGACCAAGAGGACTGAATTCGATAGACTTGGCCATTGAGCCTGAATTCTCCTTTCGCAAGCCTCGTCAAAGTCTTGCGAACGTGATCGGTGACCACGGTCGGGCACGGGCTCGCCAGACCAGAAAGCCTCGAAACTGCAAAGCACGCGCATCGCGTGCATCCTACCACGAGCGGTCCACCAGACAGCTGGAACTACGCCCGAGATGCACTTCTTCCTCTTCCGGGAGCACGTCCCAAGTCAGAATATCACACTCCCGGGGCGCACTTTCTTCGAGCGGGCACACAAAGGATGCACTTCCTCCTCCTCCTCCTCCTCCTCCTCCTCCTACTCCTCCTCCTCCTCCTCCTCCTCCTCCTCCTCCTCCCCCTCCTCCTCCGCCTCCTCCTCCTCTTCCTCCTCCTCCTCCTCCTCCTCCCCCTCCCCCTCTCCTCCTCCTTCTCCTCCTCCTCCTCCTCATCCTCCTTCTCCTCCTTTTCCTCCTCCTCCCCCTCCTCCCACTCCTAGCCCTTTCGATTAGGGTCGGCGGCACCGGCCGTCAGGCCTCTCCAATCTCATTCGCGCCCGATGGCTCGTCACAACTTAGACGTCTGAAGCGTGTAACTCATCAACCCACATGGGGGAGTCACACGTTGCTCTCTGTGGACTATCTGGGTGGAGGAGAGCAGAGCTGAAAGTCGTGTCCTCACTTTGGCACCGCAAACATGATTCTCAAAAGCCCTACCTGTTGCATGGATGAAAAGCGAACTGTGTTTTGGTACCGTCTAGCGTCCAATACTGATATAACCCTTCGCTTGCAGTAAGACCGACTCGGCTCTCACCACTTCAGTCCTGCCACCTGATGTGGAACGGCCACTGGGCTCTGGCCCTTCCAATTGTCCCAGGCGCCAAGCCGGCCGCAAAGGGATCACCATTCCAACTTTCCCAAACCATCATCCTCTGGCGGTTCCCGCTTTTTTCCTCTCTGGAGTAACGGTCGTTACCCAGAGGAGGGGAAGGCTTCGGGCGGGAGGGTAACGGTAAGGGCGGCAGCGGCGTGCACCCGCCAAGGTGCGTCCGCACCAACGGCGCATCTATCGCCTGTGCCCCCCGGCATGTAGGGAGGGTCCAAGCCAATCCCCCTAGCACGATCGTCAGCGTTACCCTGGGGGGGAGGGGGCCCAGGTAACGAGCACTGCTCTGGGGAGACCGTGATGCTTCCGCCGGGCGCTTGCCGCTTGCTGCTGCGGTGGAAGCAAACACCTCTGTTGACTCTTGAGGGGAAGACCTGGCACAGAGGGGCGGAGGGGCGGATGCTGGGTGCCCCTCCCCTCCTCCTCCTGCTCCTGCTCCTGCTCCTCCTCCTCCTCATCCATTCCTCTTCCTTGTGAACAACTCCTCCCTGTCGCACCCCGAAGCCAGTCGGAAGGGCGGCCCAGGCGTTTCGCCGGAGACTTCCTTACCAATTCCGATTGTGAAGCTTCAAGATTGGCAACAATCTCACAGATGCAGGGCGGGCCGCTTCAAAAATGTGGCTCTCGCCGTAACGCCGCGCACAACCGTCTCGTAGACTGGAAAAGCTGAACGGATTGAGGGCGGACGCCTTTCAACATGTGGCTCCCGCCATAGCGCCGCGCATGTTCTTCTGTTTCCCCAAAAATGCGGAAAAATGCGGATTGAAGGCGGGCCGTTTTCAAAATGTGGCTCTCGTCCTGGCGCCGCTCACATTCGGATTAGCACATTGCAGAAGTTTCACGGATTGCCGGCGGGCGGTTTTCAACATGTGGCTCCCGCCTCGGCGTTGCGCGCATTCGCTTGAAAAATGTAAATGCTCCACGCATTGAAGGCGATTCCTCGTTAAAGTGCGGTTATCGCGTTAGCGCCGCGCATATTCGGTTCAACAAATTGCAGGAAGTTTCACGGATTGAGGGCGGGCGGTTTCCAAAATGTGGCTCCCGCCTTAGCGCTGCGCGCATTCGCTTGAAACATCTGCAGAAATTGCGCTTCGGAGCGACTCAGGATTGCCAGGGAGCACAAGCTACGTTGATTTGCGGTGTTGAAATCTCAGGACTGGTGTTCTGGCCCGGTTCAGGATCGTCGAGACGCAGCGGTCAGGTTGATTCGCGGCGTTGGAGTCCCGAGGACGGTGTTTTGGCACGCTTCAGGATCGTCACACGATTGTCTTCCAACGGGGCACTTCCCTCAGTGGAGATGGATCCTTGTATAGGGCCTAGGGGGAAGGAGTGTGGAGGGAGGGTCTATTCCAACATCGTTGATGAGTCTTGGGTTTACACTGGTCCTCCCCCTCCTCCTCCGCCACCTCCTGCTGCTCTTCCTACTCCCCTTCCTCCTCCTCCTCCTCCTCCTCGTCCTCCTCCTCCTCCCCTTCTGCTCTTCCTCCTCTTCCTCCTCCTCCTCTTTCCCCTTTCCATTGGGTTCACACACCCCGTCCATCCCACCTTCGTCTCTACTACCTCCTCCCTCCTCCATGCTCTCTCATCTCTCCTCCTTCCACTCTCCTCCCTCCTCTCTTCCTCCTCCCCACCATTACAGATCCACCCCCTCCGTCCATCCCCCTATCGTCTCTCCTCCCTCCGCCTCCATTGCCCCTTAGATTCACCCCCTCCGTGGATCCCTCAATCGTCTCTCGCCCAAGGCGGTGCAGAAGGCATTCGTTCAGAGGAAGGAACATCGGGCCCAAGATCGTGCTGCCGCCGCCGCGGCCAACAGGCCTGAGGGGGTTCACGGAAGCGAGCAGGGCGGGCTTGGGCAGCAGGCGAAGCGAGAGAGTTGTCAGCACGACTAATGCCTCTCAAGGCATTCTCATGGCATCCCTCCTCCCTCCTCCTCCTCCTCCTCCTCCGCCACCTCCTCCTCCTCCTCCTCCTCCTCCGCCTCCTGGCATTTCGGCTCCGCGCACCGCCCCTCTCCATGCCCGCGCGCTTCTGGTCTGGCACAGCCCTGGCGCCGGCCGAGGCCGCTCACTCGTTCTCCTGGGGCGGCCGAGGGCACGAAAACGGCGACCGTGCACCGTACCATGCGACGACAAGAACAAGGACAAGGACAAGGACAAGGACAAGGACAAGGACAAGGACAAGGACAAGGACAACGACAACAACAACAACAACAACAACAACAACAACAACAACAACAACCATTTTAAGGCTGTACGCTCTTACTTGCCCGCGAGTCATTCAACACGTATACCCTACACCCTCGATGCCCGCCCTCTTCGTCTTCGATCACACCCCTTTCGGGGGGATTATTTCTCTTTGCTGGGGCCGGCGGGCGTAGACGTACGGGCAAACCGGAACGGGCGGACAATCCTTCGGGGGCGTAATCTCTCTGCCCGCCATTGGAATTGGCGCGGGCCCTGCAAGAGGAGGAGGGGAAGAACGAGGGAGAGTGGGAGGACGGGGAGGGGGAAGGACGAAGGAAGAGGGATGATACCACGTTGTGAAGGCGTCCTTGGCGCGTGCGTGGTTCCTGAGCGCCGAAACGCAATTCCAGAATAATTTGTGAGGACGTCGCACGCGGGAGCGCAGTCCTGAGTACGTTGGAAATCTCAAACGGAAGCGGGGGCCCTGACTAAGTTGCGAGGAAGTCTCAAGCGGGAGCGCCGTTCCTGAGCAAATTGCACGGAAGTCTCAGGCGGGAGCGGGGGTCCTCACTAAATTGCGAGGAGGTCTCAGGCGGGAGCGCCGTTCCTGAGTCAACTGCGCGGAAATGTCAGGCAGCAGCGGGGGTCCTGAGTAAAATTCGAAGAAATCTCAGGCGGGAGCGCCGTTCCCACGTAAATTGCACGGAAATCTCAAGCGGGAGCGGGGGTCTTGATTACATTGCGAGGAAGTCTCAGACGGGAGCGCCTTTCCTGAGTAAATTGCGCGGAAGTCTGAGGCGGGAACGGGGGTCCTGAGTAAAAATCGAGGAAGTCTCAGGCGGGAGCCGTTGTTGTTGTAGCCCGGGGGGCATGGGCACAGTTTGAGCAGGAAGACTTTCCTTGAGAAAAAACAACGTGCGAGCCCCGGGGGGTGGCACTTCAATCGAAAAAACAATGTGCACCGGTGGGGGGGGGATCAACAATAATTGTTCTTCAAGAGTGAGAATTCAACAACAACAACAACAACAACAACAACAACAACAACAACAACAACAACAACAACAACAACAACAACAACAACAACAACAACAATAACAATAACAATAACAACAACATCAACAACAACAACAACAACAACAAACATTTTAAGACTGTTCGCCCTTATCTGCTCGAGTGTCCAATAACGCGTATTTCCCAAACCCTCGATACCCGCCCTCTCCGTCTTCGATCGACCCCCTTTTGGGGGGTATATCTTTCTTCCCTGCAGGCCAGGCCCCGGCAATCGGCGGGGCGGCCGCGGACCGTCGGCCTGACCAGCGGCAGCGCTGATCGGCGGGGCGGCCGCGGACCGTCGACCCGACCCCCAGAGGGACGGACAGGAACCCGACCACGACGAGGACGAGGACGACGACGACGGCGACGACGACGAGCGAAATTGAGAGCGAGAGAGAACGACAGCAACGCCACGAAGGTCAAGAAGTAGGCCACGAAGGGCGACAGCGGGGACACGAAGGGAATGCGTATGGGGCCACGAAGAGCGCGAACGAGCGGGGGCCACGAAAGGCAGATAATGCGGGGCCACAGAAGGCAACGATGGGGCCACTGAAGGCAGCAATTGGGTCACGTAGGACAGAGGGGGCCACACACGGCGACAGCGGGGCCACGAAGGGCATGCACATGGGGCAACCACGGGCGCGAACGAGCGGGGGCCACGAAGGGCGTACAGATATGGGGCCACGAAGGGCAGCAAGGGAGCCACGAAGGGCCGCAACGGGGCCACGAAGGGCAGCGAAGGGGCCACGAAGGGTTGCAACGGGGCCACGAAGGGCTGCGAGGGGGCCACGAAGGGCCGCAACGGCGACAGCGGGGCCACGAAAGGCATGCACATGGGGCCAAAACCGGCGCGAACGAGCGGGGGCCACGAAGGGCATACGTATATTGGGCCGCGGAGGGCAAGAACGGGGCCACTGAGGGCAGCAACGGGGCCACGAAGGGCAACGAGGGGGCTACGAAGGGCGACAGCGGGGCCACGAAGGGCACGCATATGGGACAACCACGGGCGCGAACGAGCGGGGGCCACGAAGGGCATACATATATGGGGCCACGAAGGGCAGCGAGGGGACCACGAAGGGTTGCAACGGGGCCACGAAGGGCAGCGAGGGGACCACAAAGGGTTGCAACGGGGCCACGAAGGGCTGCGACGGGGCCACACAGGGCAGCGAGGGGGCCACGAAGGGTTGCAACGGGGCCACTAAACAAAGCGAGGGGGCCACGAAGGGCTGCAGCGGGGCCACGAAGGGCAGCGAGGAGGCCACGAGGGGCTGCAACGGGGCCACGAAACAAAGCGAGGGGGCCACGAAGGGCTGCAGCGGGGCCACGAAACAAAGCGAGGGGGCCACGAAGGGCTGCAACGGGGCCACGAATGGCAGTAAGCGTGAGCGCGACCCCTGGGTGCCTGGGTGTCGGGAGCGCGGCGCTTGAGTAAATTGCAAGAAAATCCAACGCGAGGGCGCTATTCTATGGTAAAGTGCAAGCAAATCTCAAGCGAAAACGCGACTCCAGAGCGCCGGGACAGCGATTCCTGAACAAATTGTAAGGAAGTCCCAAACGAGAGCGCGATTCCTGAATCAAATGAGAGGAAGTCTCGGGCGGGAGCGGGGGTCCTGGCTAAATTGTGAGGAAATCTCAAGCGGGAGCCGTTGTTGTTGTAGTCTGGGGGGCAGGGGGCCAATTTGAGCAGGAAGACTTCTTTGACAAAAAACAAGGTGCGAGCCCCGGGGGGGGCACTTCAATTGAAAAGACTCAATGTGCACCAGTGAGGGGGGATCAACAATAATTATTCTTCACGAATGAGAGTTCAACAACAACAACATCAAAAACAACACTAATCTTAAGATCGTTCGCCCTTATATGCTCGAGTGTCCAATAACGCGTATTTCCCAAACCCTCGATACCCGCCCTCTCCGTCTTCGATCGACCCCCTTTTGGGGGGTATACCTTTCTTCCCTGCAGGCCGGGCCCCTGCAAGTGGCGGGGCGGCCGCGGACCGTCGACCCGACCCCAAGAGGGACGGACAGGGGACCGACGACGACGACGACGACGACGACGACGACGACGACGTCGAACACGACGGCGACGACGACGACGGCGACGACGAGCGAAAGCGAGAGCGAGAGAGAACGGACAGCAAGGCCACGAAGGGCACGAAGTAGGCCACGAAGGGCGACAGCGGGGACACGAAGGGAATGCGTATGGAGCCACGAGGAGCGCGAACGAGCGGGGGCCACGAAGTGCAGATAATGCGGGGCCACAGACGGCAACGATGGGGCCACTGAGGGTAGCAACTGGGCCACGTAGGACAGTGAGGGGGGCACAAATGGCGACAGCGGGGCCACGAAGGGCATGCACATGGGGCCACAACTGGCGCGACTCCTGGGTGCCTGGGTGTCGGGAGCGCGGCGCTTGGGTAAATTGTAAGAAATTCCAACGCAAGGCCAGTCTTCAACAAGTTGAAAGGAAGTCTCCAGCGAGAGCGCGACTCCAGAGCGCCAGGAGAACGATTCCTGAATAAATTGTAAGGAAGTCCCAAGCGAGAGCGCGATTCCTGAATAAAATGCGAGGAAGCCTCGGGCGGGAGCGGGGGTCCTGGCTAAATTGTAAGAAAATCTCAAGCGGGAGCCGTTGTTGTTGTAACCCGGGGACCAAGGGCACAGTTTGAGCACGAAGACTTTCCTTGTCAAAAAACAAGGTGTGAGCGTCGAGGGGCACACTTTGATTGAGAAAAAACCGTATGCACCAATGGGGGGGGATCAACAATACTTATTCTTCAGAAGTGAGAATTCAACGGGAAGGCATACACTCTGGCCCCGGGCAGGGCTGGAGCCTCCGGTGTCACTCCCCCGGTGGACGGGCGCACACTCCGGCCCCGTCCTGTGATGCTGTGTGACGACAACTTCTCTGGCCCTGCGAGAGGCCATCAGCGGTGGTGTCGCGCCGCGGTGGGCAAACGTACATTCCGCCCCCGTGTGCGCCGTCATCTGTGCTGTTCCCTCCACAGAAAACGCTCTCCGTGCGCTACCCATTTCTCCGGCCCCGTGTGCAGCTAAGACACTCTCAGGGACCCTCACGACTCCTAACGAAAGCTAGACGCTCCTTCAAGGACCCTCACGACGACGACGACAACGACGACGGCGGCGGCGGCGGCGCCGCCGCCGCCACTGTCGAGAAGGATGCGGAGTTTTCTGGGGTGCCTCCCGGCCGCGTCTCGCACGGCCCCTGCGGCACTCGGCCCCGCGCGGGGAAGCCTGCCCGGCAGAGAGCCCGAGGGCCCGCGGAACTAGTAGTAGTAGTAGTAGTAGTAGTAGTAGTAGTAGTAGTAGTAGTAGTAGTAGTAGTAGTAGTAGTAGTAGTAGTAGTAGTAGTAGTAGTAGTAGTAGTAGTAGTAGTAGTAGTAGTAGTAGTAGTAGTAGTAGTAGTAGTAGTAGTAGTAGTAGTAGTAGTAGTAGTAGTAGTAGTAGTAGTAGTAGTAGTAGTAGTAGTAGTAGTAGTAGTAGTAGTAGTAGTAGTAGTAGTAGTAGTAGTAGTCGTAGTAGTAGTAGTAGTAGTAGTAGTCGTAGTAATAGTAGTCGTAGCAGTAGTAGTAGTAGTAGTAGTAGTAGTAGTAGTAGTAGTAGTAGTAGTAGTAGTAGTAGTAGTAGTAGTAGTAGTAGTAGTAGTAGTAGTAGTAGTAGTAGTAGTAGTAGTAGTATAGTAGTAGTAGTAGTAGTAGTAGTAGTAGTAGTAGTAGTAGTAGTAGTAGTAGTAGTAGTAGTAGTAGTAGTACGAGTGGTAGTAGTGGTAGTAGTACTAGTAGTAGTAGTCGTCGTCGTCGCCGTCGTAGTAGAAGTGGAAGTA